GTCCATTTATACGAAAACATTAAATAAATAATCACACATGCAATGCACAGGCACAGTCGATATTTTGAAAGTGAGGCATCTTGGTAGCCCTTGGGTAGATGATCCTTGGCATTCTACTGTTGAGTGATCGACTGTGTGTGTCCTGTGGCACAGTGCACACTTTGTACTCTTCCAGCACCTCCTTTGGAGGCACCTCCGCTGCTTCTACTTTATAGGCTCAGAGATGGCAAGGGGCTGCCAGGAGCCACACAGCTGGCCAGCTGGACCTCACTTCTCCCCCTGCTTCTTTGGTGACAGTCAGAGAGGTTACTAAAGCACTGTTGGATCTGGGGAACCCCAGGTGAGGGGTTGTCTCATTGTGGGGCTAGGATGGCATCTGGGAAAAGCTATGGGTTTTGACCCCTGCTGTCCTCAAAGACACAGCTCTACCCTACCAGTCACAGCTCTACCCTAAGGGAGCTGGCCTAGGCAGGGCTCCTGAGCCTGGGCTGGGCTCTTGAGCTTAGGCAGGTGGTCCTACTAGGCCAGCCCTTCCCCCAAAGAGACCCAAAGTTGCTAGGAGCAACAGGCAAAGGGCAGGAGCCTGGCATTGATTGCCTGTAGCTCCTCTTCTACCCACAGCAACACTGCTCCCTCTGTTCTACTGAGCCCTCCATCTATCTCAGCCAGTCAGGGGCTCTGGGAAGCTTTGTTTGGTGGCCTGGTTTTCTCAGTGTACTCCTGGGTGATAGCCTGGGCTTCCTGCTAGAGTTAGAAGCCTCACTGTGAGCTAACCTCATCCCCAGTATTCAACAGGGAGCTCCTTTATGAGCCAGGCTTGGATGGGTTCTTTGGAGGCTGTAGGGGATCTGGATGGTGCGGCTGCTCAGGGCAGCCCAGGCCGGCTCATGCCACATTGTTCTTCTCTTGCAGTCTTGATTGAAGCATGCTGTGGTGCCTGGCCACTGCCTTGTTCCTATTGATCCTCCAGAGTGGTAAGTCTCACCCTCAGGGGGAAGTAGGGACCCCCCCCACAAAGCTGAGCAGAGGCTGGCTGGCCTTGTGGACTACTGGTCATGGCTGCCAGTCACTGACCCAGATTCTACTGCATCCATTCATTTCATACTGAAATTCAGTGACTTGTTCTCCATTTACAGAAGAACCCAGCTCCATTAAACAGAAAGGCTCCCTGCCCTCCCAGGGAGGAAGTCCTGCTCTTGGTCTAAACTTCACTCCTTTTTATGAGATGCTTTTCCATTTGATCATGGACCCTCAGCAGCCTTGGGGAAGGGGAGGTGGAGACAGAGGCGAGAGAGCTCGGGAAGCTGCTGAATCAGCAGCATTACTCTGGTTTTTACCGAAAAGACCCAGTGTCTCAAATAGCTCCCACAGGAAACAGATGCCCGACTTTTATTTTCCCTTTCTGGTATTGACATCATGACTGTTTCTGGAAATCCCTGACATGCCTCACACACGTGGGAGTGGAGAACAAGCCTCTGTCACTCACTGAGGTGGGCACATCACCCCTTTGCCTGTGTCTCCTGGGCTTTGTGCTTCCAATTCATACAGTTTTCAGTGGAGGAAACTGAGACTGAGGGAGGACACAGGGCCACATGGCCACCCTGATGGGAAGTGTCTGAGTTGGGATAGCTGCCTGACTCTTGTAGTCTGCCTCTGTCCCTTCACACTGCTAAGACAAAGCAAAGAACAAGTGTGTGGGGCTGGGCCAATGGCTCAGTCTGTAAAGTGCTTGTTGGGTGCTCAAGCTTGAGCACCTGAGCTCGGTCTGCAGCACCCATGTAAAAAGCTGAGCACAGTAGAATTCACCTGTAATCCCAACACTGGGGAGGCAGAAACAGGTGGATCATAGGGGCTTTCTGGACAGTCAGTCTAGTCAAATAGACAAGCTCCAGGTTTAGTGAGAGATCCTGTCCCAAAAGTAAGGTGGAGGAAGTTGGAGCGATGGCTCAGTGGTTAAGAGCACTGGCTGCTTTTGCAGAGGATTCGGGTTCAATTCCCAACATCCATATGGTGGCTAACAATCATCCTTAATTTTAGTTCCAGGGGAACTCCTGGCATCCGTGGGCATTGCACTTACATACATGTAGGCAAAACACTCATACACATAAAATAAAAATTAAAAACCAAGTAAGTAAGGTGGAGGTAGAAGACATCCAGTGTCAACTTCCGGCCTCCATGTGCATGTGTGCTTATGTACACCCACCCTCACACAAGATCACGTGTGTATCTGTCAGTTCCAGAGTCAAGGTACAGCCAGCTCTGTGGCTGGCAAGTCCCAGTGTCTGTTTCCAGTACAGCACTGGGCCTTCTTTCCTTACGGTGGAAGGGGGATTGGGTGGGAAGGAGCCATGAATGGCTGGCCCCTCCAGTACTTCATAACATCATAGCCCCATTCAGAACTCTGCCCAGGGACTCCATCGACCTTGTCCTCTTCTCCCAAGTGTTGGCCTATGCACTTTGGGGAGGACACGTGCATCCAAATCTTAGCACCTGCTGTGCTGCCCTCATTCATTCATTCTTTCTTATTTTTATTTATTTTTATTTTTTAGCTTTTGAGACGGGATCTGAGTATGTAGGCATAATCCCCCTGGGCAGCCTTCCTGGAGCAGGGATCACAGGCATGGTCACACTCCCAGCTTGATGCTGTACTGAGTGGCTACCCTATGTGGAGTGTGCACTGTGCAGACTTGACCTCAGAAGAATGCCTGTGTGGCAGCTGGGGACACCAGCTTAGGGCAGCACAAGGGCAGTTTGAAGTCCAGGGGCATGGTCACCTAGCTAGGGTGCCTCCAGTCATTTCTTGTGCATCACAGTAACCTCCAGGGGAAGCCCAAGTGCCATTGAGTCATTGAATGCCAACTGGCTTGTATAGCTACCTCCCAGAAGTCTGTGGGCTCTGCTCCTCCTGCCCCAGGGTCTCATCCCATGTCCTATCCAAGCTAGGGCTGTAGCCCAGGATAGAAAAGTGCTTGCCTAGAGAGCACAAAACCCTGGGTTCAATCCCTAACATTTGACACATGCATGCTAATTTTTAAAAATATTTTTATTGAATTTTTGTGTATTTCATACAAAACATCTCAATCAATCTTAATCATCTTTATATCCCCTTCCCCACTGGCACCCTCCCAAGGTTTCCCCCTGGATTCATACATTCTGTCATTTGTGTTAAGGCCTATTTTGTCAAGTTAGTGTCCCCAGACATCTGCATGCTAATTATTAATGCACTCACGCATACGCACATGAACACACTCCCATCCTCACCCTGTGCATGCATGCACACACAAATCCAAGTTTGGGGGCAAGGCCTAACCCTCAGCACCTTGAGCATGTCTGGACATGGCAGTGCCTCCTCTGTTCCTAGAACCCTGAAGAAACCAGCTAGGATCAGAGAGTGGGCCACCTGGGCCTCCCTGACAGGCTGCATGTGCCTCCCCGAGAAAGCCTCTCACAGCAAGACTTGTTTCCATCACTTTTAAAAATTATATTTCTTTTCTTTGTGCGTGTGTGTGTGTGTGTGTGTGCCATGGTGTACACATGGAATTCAGAGAACAACTTGCAGAAATTAGTTCTTTCCTTCTGCCATGTGGGTCCTGCAAATTGAACTCAGGTCTTCGACTTGGCACCAAGTGCCTTTACCCATTCAGCCCAGCCATCTTGAGCACTGACCCTGCTTCCATAACATTTGGTGGAAGCTGCCTGCAGAATTGCGTTGAGAAGGATTCTGAGGCCAGCTTGGGATGGAGTGCTGGGATCCATTAGCAATATCTGTCAAGTGTATGGCTGGGAAGATGCTTTCCCTAGGCACAGAACTCAGCAGTTTAGATCAAGAGAGAGACCTGGGGGCCGGGCGTGGTGGCACACACCTTTAATCCCAGCATTCGGGAGGCAAAGGCAGGCAGATGTCTGTGAGTTCAAGGCTAGCCTGGTCTACCTAGTGAGTTCCAGGCCAGCTGGGGATACAGGGAGACCTTGTTTCAAAAAGACCAAAGAGATCAAGAGAGTGAGAGCAAGAACGAGAGAGAGAGAGAGAGAGAGAGAGAGAGAGAAAGAAAGAGAGAGAAAATGGGGTCTAGCTTTGGAGCCTTGATGTGTTCCTCCAAACAGTGCTGGCCTAGCCTCGGAATCTAGGTTGGAACCCAGAAGGAATGAGTCTTCGTAAGTCAGGCAACAGAGGGAAGAAGGCATTGAAAAAAAATCCTCTTAAAGTAAACTGCATTTCTAGGGTCGAGGGGAGACAAAACAGAGGCACTGGCATGTGGTTTTACAAAGAAAAACTCAAAATGGCTCTGCTTGCGTGCCCAAACACTGAACAAACCTTAGACAACAATTGCATATCCATTTCATAATTTTAATTCAGAAGTTAGTTAGTGTTTATTTTATTTTGAGATAGGATCTGGTTGTGCAGCCCAGGCTAGCCTTGAACTGGAGATCTTCCTGCCTCTACTTCCTATGGGCTGGGATGCCAGGAGTGCCTTGTGCCCCTCTATGCCTGCCTTCAGAAAGTGGAGCAATGACTGGGGTCAGGGGAGGGGGTTGACATCCTGGCTATTTGAGGGAGAGACTTTTCTGCAGACTGCCAAGGTCTCCCCCACTTTCTCACACTTCCTCCCTGAACTCCTCCTCCTGTGGAGGCTCTGGGCTCGAACCATGGCCAGTGCCATTCTCCCGGTCCTCAGGAGTCCTTGCCACCTCAGGGGGTATGTAAACCACTGCCACTTTCCCTGGCCTCAGGGTGCCCTCTCAGGTGGTGCACAGATCAGTGCAGCTCCATTCCCTACCTCCATTCCAGGGACCAGATATGGGGCCTGATTCTACAATAAGAGGATCTTGTCATCATGGCCAGCCCTGAAAGTTTGGGACTCAGAAGGAATGCTAGGTGACAAGAGTCTCCATGTTCTAGGCTTTTATCCCAGCCTATGACTCTGCTAAAACTTGTCCTCAGCCCCAGATACCCCTGCAAGGCCTCCCCACTATCTTTCACCCACCAAGGCTTTCCCACTATGCCCTCAGGTTGGGGCTGCCTGGACCTCACCTGCTACACTGACTTCCTGTGGACTGTTACCTGTGTCCTGGAGATGCAGGGCCTCCAACCCAGCATACTCACTCTCACCTGGTAAGTGACCTCCTGGGCCCTGAGCTATTCCTCTGAGAGGTTGGTGGACTGTGGAAGGGCTGGCTGTGGAGCTCTGGGCTAAGCTAACCTGTGCTGTACACGGGGACGTTAACAGCAAGCAAAGGGCCACCCTTTCCCTCAGTGATATCACCCAGAAAGACTGAGCTGGGAACCATGTCCCCGTCTTGCAGAGGAGCACGCAGACCTCACCTGGAGCACACAGCTGGGAGAACATGGCTGACCCGTCCCATTCCATGCATTATATTTTCTTGCTTTCATAAGGCCTCCCTAGGTTAGAGGCTCTGGGATGGCCAGTGTTCCTGTGATCTTCCAAGGCATGGCAGGTGCTGTGTCCTTGCCATGAATGAAGATACAGTTATTCTTAGCATGTTCTAGATGAGGATGCTGAAGTTCAGGGAGGTTTAGCAGCTGGCCTGTAGCCACACAGCCAGTGGGTCCTTATGGGCTCATGTTCAGCTCACTTACTCCAAACTTATTAAGTCCCGCTAGATGTGTTGTGGGGACTCGGGACCCTGCAAGGCTCAAGACTGCAGGGTGGGGAGTCAGGGGTATTCAGCGGTGGCCAGGGCAGACCTTTCTGGATGGGAAGAGACAACCAGTCAGCTAGAGAAAGGGCATCTAGGCAGCTGGCACAGCACAGTCAAAGGCCCTGGCAGAGAAAGAGCTTGTGAGTTTGAGGAACAGCAGGCTGAGTGTGGCTGGAGTGCAGTGAGCCAGAGTGAGGGAAAACAGTAAGCAAAGGGGGCCAGATGAGGGCCACCTGTGCTTGTGCGGAAGGGCAGCAGATGACAGGGAGAGGACAGATTTCAGAGACAGTGGGCGAGGCAGGAACACCTCCAGACAGCCATTACAGTGGTCCAGGCTGGAGGCTTGAAGAATATTGTACAGCAACATTCCTATTCCAGAAAAATTAGCAAAGAACTAAGTCTGCACATCCATATTGGTCCTACCAGGTGATGTTCAGACACTGGCATGTAAGGAAGGAAGGAAATAAGTATCTATGGGCTCCTATATATATTCCAAAGACCATCTTTTCTGCCTAGCAGGAGTTAGAAAGCCAAAGCATTCGCCACTACCCTATCTGAACAGTGTTCCTAGAACATCCAACAGATCAGGGAGGAAAGCTTGCTTGGCTCTCAGCACAGACCCATGGTATTCAATGGTGTTGTGCAGAAAGGGAGGAAGGGACCCTCCTCCACTTCCTGAGGGGTAGTAATCCAGCTGTGACTAACAGAGACACACTTAGGATTGGTCCAAGGGAGGTAAGGTAGTAAGCACCTGATTGGGGCAGGGAGCTCCTGGCCTTTGGAGGTATGCAAGCAGAGTCTGGACTCAGTCCACATTGGATGTTGCAGGGAAGAGATACTGTCCCTGGGACAGGGCTGGTTGGACCATGGCCCCTAGCCCCATCTATAGCCGCCGCACCTGCCCTACCCTGAGCCCCACTACCCCCAACCATGACTGGCCATTCTGTCCCTAAAGGAAAGACGAGTATGGGGAGCTGGATGACGAGGTCACCTCCTGCAGCCTGAGCAGGTCCAGCTACAACACCACGCATGCATGGTTCACGTGCCGCATGCCTGTGTTCCATTTCATGGCTGATGACATTTTCAGTGTCAACATGACAGACCAGTCTGGCAACAACTCCCAGGAGTGTGGCAGCTTTGTTCTGGCTGAGAACAGTGAGTACCATGGACTGCAGGCTGAGGAGGGCCCTGGGGCTGAACCCTACTTCCCTGCCCTTTGAGTGAGCTCTCCTTGCTCCATCAAAACCAACTGTTCTTAGAGTTCTGCTTTTCAAATGCTCTGCCTTTGACTAAGATGTGATGAGCTGATATGAAGTTTGAGCATTAATGTCCAAGAGAAGCAACAGAGGCTTGGGAAGGCGCTGGGTTGGGGCCTGGCTCAGCCGCTCTGTCTGCATGGCAGTGGATCTTAGCTCTGGAACTGCTTGCTGTGTAGAGTGAAGATCTTTTAAAAATATATATATTATTTGTTATTTTTATATTATGCATATGAATGTATTGCTTGCATGGAGGTAGGTGCACCCATATTGTGCAATGCCTGTGGAGGTCAGAAGAGGGTGTCGGATCCCCTGTAACTGAAGTTATGGGCGGTTGTTAACCACCATGTGGGTGCTAGGAATCGAACCCAGGTCCTCTGCAAGAGCAGCCAGTGTTCTTAACCGCTGAGCCATCTCTCCAGTCCCGAGTGAAGAACTTCTTAACCCCAACCTTCTGGAATTCTACCCCATGATGAGCCTCAGTCAGCTTACATGGAATCTCCCCAGCTGGGAGGGAGAGGCCTAGGAGCAGGAGAGTCCTAGTGGGGAACCTGGCTGTAGATATCCCCAGAACCTGGGTTGCACAAGGGAAGAGCCTGGAAGCCAGCTTTGGTATGTATGTGTGTGTGTATGTATATGTACATGTGTGTGCATGTGTGCATATGCATGTGTGTACATGTGTATATGAACAAATATGTGTGCATGTATGTGCGTGTGCCTCTGTGTCTGTCTGTCCCTATGTATATTTGTCCATTTCTGTGTACTACAGGGACATTCTTTAGAACAGAAGTTGAAGACTGAGGAGCCTGTCTGGCATGTCGCATAGACATTTTTGCATCAGGAGCTAACTTTAACCCCTGAGAGACTTCCTGCAGCCACCTGGATTTCCAGCTTTGGCTTTTGCTTTTGTTTTTCTTTTCTTCTGAGAAAGCATAGAGAATATTTGTCTGTATGCCTGACACAGCTGAGGTGGGCTGGGCGCAAGTCCTGACTCGAGCCTCTAAGCCTGGGAATATTCTTTCTCCACAATCCCCAGACCTGCCTCAGGGTTCCTGTGGCCTGCCTGCCCCTGACTTTTCAGGGGATCTAGTCTAAGTAAACTTGGATTGTGATCAGGGAGTGCTGTGCTTAGTCAGCTGGGGTGGCTTATCCTGGGCTCATGGAAGAAAGCGGGAAGTACCCTTCCTTCTCCAGACCCTTCCCTTTTTCAGCAGATCTTATCTTACTGTTTTCTTTTTTCTGGTTTTCCTCCAGTCAAGCCAGCTCCCCCTTTCAATGTGACCGTGACCTTCTCTGGACACTATGTTGTCTCCTGGCACTCGGATTACGAAGCCCCTACCTTCTACCCGCTGAGGGGAAAACTGCAGTATGAGCTGTGGTATTGGGACCTGGGGGACCCCTGGGCTATGGTGAGCTGAAAGGATGAGGAGGGCGGGGAGGGGCAGGGAGGGCAGACGACATTTCCAAGCAGGTGAGGGGGATTCTGAGCATGGCAGGGATTCAGACTTAGTGTTTCCTCTCCTCCCTGGAGCAGGACCATCTCTCTACTCAGTCCCTGCTTCCTCTTCCACTGTCCCACCCCAGTGGAAGGTTCCACTGTGGATGGAAGGTTCTAAAATCTTCTTTTGCCCAGTCATAGTAAAAGAAGGGTTTAGAACCTTCCACTTGTTTCAAATGTGAAGGCTGCTTACAAGTGCTCAGCTGGCAGTCTCTAGAGTAGCCCACTGTTTGAACAGAGCTTCAGGCTTCTAGAACTATCAATCCATTAGAACGATTCTGGTTGAAGATTTCCATAAAGACCATCATCTAGGATGTTCTCAGGAAGACTTCCACAGTAGTCCACTGACAAGGTGGCTATAATTTGGGACTTCAAAAAGATCCACTATTGAGCATGTCCTATGTCATCTGAGGCAGAGATTGGTGTGTCAGTGGGGAGCACCCCCAGGGCCCGTTGCCTGAGAGCTTCTGGTTAATGGTGTGCGGGAGTGTCCACAGCTGCTCCTAGACACAGTCAGGCGTTGCCTCCCACTGCAGACAGGGAAGCTGAGGGGGAAAAACTGCACAGAGATCCTTGCTCCCAGGCAGCTCTAGTCAAGGATACTTGCTCCCTGCTGCACCTGCCTGGGCGACTCCAATGGAAGAGGAGGAACTCCCACCCCATTGATGGACATGTGCCTGGGTGACCACTGACCAGTGTAACCCTTCTGTCCTGGCAGAGGCTGGTGACCAAGCTGATCTCAGTGGACTTGGGCCATGTCTCCCTCCTCCCTGAAGAGTTCCACAAAGACTCCAGCTACCAGCTGCAAGTGCGGGCAGCACCCCAGACTGGCACCTCCTTCAAGGGGACCTGGAGCGAGTGGAGTGACCCTGTCATCTTTCAGACCCAAGCTTCAGGTCAGTGTGAAGCTAGGGGACACCCTAATTCTGGTATCAAATCTTGTCCTGCTCTAGTTTCCCTGAGCCCTGAGGTGTCTGGCACAGCTGGGAGGTATGCACTGGGTTATTTGTGAGGGGGGCTGTTACTAACTCTGAAGTGAGAGCATTACCCCATTTTACAGATGAAAAAACTAAGGCTCAGAAAGATGACGTCGCTGGCCTGGGTTGGGGGTATTAGATTTCTATCATTGATAAAATGCCTGAGTCAATCAACTTAATAGAGGACAAGACTGTTTTAGCTCGGGTTCAAAGGGTTGTGTCAGGCCTGTGTGGCATAGGCCATCGTGGTCAGGGCATGTGGTGGACGCCCATTTACATCATGGTGACCAGCAAGCAAAAAGGAAGGGCTGGGATCCCAGTAACCCTTCAGTGTGCCCCAGGTGACCCCACCTCCCACAAGGCCCCACCTTCTAAGGGCTCCACCACCTTCCAGTAGCACCCCAGGCTAGGACCATAGTTCTAACACAGGGGCCTTTTGGGGAAATCACTGCACACCCAAACACCAAAAGGATGGGGCAGAATCAGAACCCAGCTCCCTCCCACCCTTCCATGACACCACACCACCCCCAGCACACCCACCTACATGTCTCTGGGAGATGTTTCTGTCAGACCCACAGTTTGCTCTCTGTGCAGAGCCCAAGGCAGGCTTGGACCTTCGCCTGCTGCTGTTCCTACTGGTTGTCTTGGCCCCTGTCCTGGTTTTCCTGGGTCTGAAGATCCACGTGCCTTGGAGGTAAGGCCTGGGGATCAGGGAGGCAGAGAATGGGTCAGCCTGGGCCACTAGCCCTCCAAGCAAGACCCACTCAGGGCAAGGGGACACGATGTTGGTGGTGACACTATTGACCAGCTTGTGTGCACCACATGGCTGAGCTCTTACTCCACCCCTACCACAGTCCTGTGAGCTCAGCACTCTGCAGATGCTCCCATGGTACAACTGGGGAAACTGAGACACAGAACAGTCAAGGAATTTGCTCAAAATCACACAGCTGACTGGAAAAGGCAGGATAGAAGCCTTGTGTTCTTTGCAGGGACCTTGGCTATGACCTTGCCCAGGGAATAAACTTTGAGGTCCCAGGGGTGATCACCCCCCTCCAATCCCTTGCTTCAGCTGGAGGCTGGGCTGGTATCTGCTTTATGTGGGAGGCTTCTGTAGACTCAAATCAGCAAACCAGTGCACTTCCCTGGTGCAGTATTGTGGTTGGGACATCTGTGTGCAGAGCCCTGGCTAAGTGACAACGTTGGCCTCAGCACGTGCCTTTCATTTTGCTCTCTTTCCGTGAAGCACTCGGAGACAGGGACAGAGAATCTGGAGGGGAGAGACTGAGTGCTGGTGCTAGGCCCTACCCCAGCTTCCTCTCTTCTGTCCCCACTCATGGTAGATGAGGAAGCTGAGGCCCAATGGGGCATCATGCACCCAGCCCGAAGTAGACTGCAGAGCTGAAATGGAGCATGTGCGGGAAGCTTGTGGGGGGGGGCACTGTTGTGGAAACCAAGTCTAAGCACAGCAGCAGGAGGTTGTTCCTGCCACTGCAGGAGTGATGCTGGCCTGGGCCTCATCCAACCTCTCTTCTCCCAGGCTGTGGAAGAAGGTATGGGCGCCAGTGCCTAGCCCCAAGAGTTTCTTCCAGCCCCTGTACAGGGAACACAGCGGGGACTTCAAGGTGAGTCCACCTTGACCTTTGAGGCCCTGGCCAACTTTTACCCCAAACCCCAGACTATTCTGTGGGCCCAAAACATCAAGGCCCAACCTGACCTGAGACCAGGCCTCATTTCTCATTTTCTCCACTCTGCAAGGTGCAGACTTGGCCTCAGACTTAGCATGAAGCACTTCCAGCCTAGAATCACTCTGGATGAGGGAGAGCCAGGTGTCTCTGAGGGCACTGGTTGGGTGCTTGGGGTTTCCTGTGGTGGCCTTGATTTGTGGTAGGGAGGGAGTCCTGGAAAGGACCTGCCCGCCTCCTGCAAGACTCCCCTTTCCCTGCCCACCTCCTGCAAGACTCTCTTCTCTCTGCTAAGTGCAATTGCCACCGCTGCCACCCCAGGGTGTCTGCCCAGAACTGCCAAACACCCAACAGGGTGGGAGGTACTGAAGAGAGGATGTGGTGTGGGGTTAGGAGACAGCCGCCTGTAGCAGCTGGGCTTGGAAGACAGAGCAGGGGGTGCCCACAGAGCAAAGTGTGCCCAGTCCTGCAGCCTCTGCGACAGGTGCCCACCAACCCTAAGGTTTCCTGGAGGACGGGGAGGCTCAGAGTCCACCAATGTCCCTCTCAAGGCCGAGCAGGAGTCTGTCTCCACCCCACATGAGCTCCACCCTCTCTCTCCCCTAAATCTCATCTTTTCTTGTTCTCATGTGGTGTGCACTCAGTCCTCAGCTCTGAGTGAGGCACAGAGAGGGCAAGGCCACACAGATAAGAAGTGATTCAAGGCTAGGCACACATTATGTTTCTGAGATGCTTTTTTGGGGGGGCTCTCACTCCCTGGAACAGTCCTTGCTGTCTGCTGGAGGCAACTTTCCTGTCATTGACCAGATCCTGGTAGGGAGGGGCAAGAGGGTCACCAAGGTTTCAGGGCCACTGTCTCAGTTTAGCGTCCCCCAAAGGCTTTCCCACATGGCCCATTATTGATTTACACAATTGCTCAACTTATAAACTGAGGGCACAACTATAAGCAGGGCTCGGACCTGGCCCAGTGTTCACTATGGCAGGGACACAAGCAGTACTGGCTTCAGGAAGTATCAGCAGGGGACAGGGTAAGGGATGTGTCAGACCTCAGGCCTTCTGTCCCACATTCCCCAGCTTAGGGACCTGGCTCCTGCACCCAGCCCACCCCTGGTTGGAGTATTTGTCACTGGAGTGGACAGGCTCCTGAGGGCAGACAGCCCTTTCTGCAAGTGGGGACACAGGCCTAAGAGGGAAGGACAGTTGTGGGAACCCACCGGACAGGGGCTTGGGCCAGTCCTGAAGTCTCATCTCTCTATTGCTGTCTTGTCCTCCTCTCTTATTTTGACTCCTTTCTGTGTCCATCTGTCTTTGGCTCTGTCTGTTCACACCCACCCTCACCTGTCCCACCCCGTGACTGTCTGTTTCTCTCTCACAGAAATGGGTGGCCACCCCTTTCACGGCCTCCAGCCTGGAACTGTCCCAGAGCCCCGCAGCAGCGTCTGTCCTACAGATGCGTGACAACTGCCTGTCACCACATCCAGCCAAGGGACTGGAGTTCCCAGGACTGCTGGGTCTAGAAGAGCAGCTGGAGTGTGATGGGGTGTCTGAGTCTGGCCACTGGGGCATGGCCCCCTCAGCAGCTGGCCCAGGGGGCTCAGTCTACAGTGAAGAGAAGGAACGGCCATATGGCCTGCTGTCCATCGACACAGTGACTGTGGGGGATGCAGAGGGTCCATGCACCTGGGCTTGTACCTGTGGGGATGATGGCTACCCAGCTCTGAACCTAGACATTGGCCCAGAGTCAGGCCCCAGTGCAAAGGACCTGCTCCTGGTCACAGGGACAACACTCCTATCATGTGGCTGTGTCTCAGGAGGTGGCCTTGGGCTGGGCAGCTCACCCAGCAACCTCCTGGACAGGTTGAAGCTTCCCCTTGCTGAGGAAGGGGACTGGGCAGCAGGACCACCCTGGGGAGATGGGTCCCCAGGAGAGGGCTCTGAGAGTGAGGTGGGCTCACCCCCGGGCCTGGACATGGACACCTTTGACAGCGGCTTTGCAGGCTCAGAGTGCGGCAGCCCAGTGGAGAGTGATGGAGGGCCTCCGCGTAGCTACCTCCGCCAGTGGGTGGTCAGGACCCCTGCATCTGCCGACAGTGGACCCCAGGCCAGCTAGCAAGGCAGACTGACTGTCAATAGAGCCACCCCTACTGCTGGATGTGAGCAGGCAGTGCCACACAATGTCCAGCTGTGATGTGAAGAGCCCAGAAGTCTGTGGTCTCCGAGTGGGCCTCTGAGCCCAATGTTTACAGTGTCTCAGTGTGAGCATGTGTGTGCATGTGTGCGTGTGTGTGTACATAAGGGTGCTGTGTTCACTGTCATGCCTGAGTGTGTCTGCATGAGCTCATTGTGTGCATGCAGGAGTAGAGCACCTCTTAGGCACAGGCTTTGGCCTCCTCCCCTGGAGACTTATGGGGTACCTGCCGTCAGTGTCAAGAGGCTGTTTCAGGCTGCTGCTCAGGGCACTGTTGTGACAAATGCCAAGCCCAACTCCCCCCGCACCCCCAAAATGCCACCCCAGGTACCTAAGAAGTCCAGGCTGCAGGCTGCTCCTATCATCCGCCCCCCACTCAGGTAGGGGATGAAAGTGAGCCCACAGTGCCCATGGGGGTAGGAAATGTTGAGGGGCCCAAGGATGTAGGTCTGAACCCCAGCTCTGGTGGCTCCTGAGTGTGGCCTGAAGAAGTCACTTCCAGTCTCTGTGCTGTGTTTCCTAACCTGGATTATTAGGCATGGCTTGGCGGCCCTGGCTCAGCTACCCTGGCTTGGCCCTGCCACAGGCAGTCTGCGGCCCGTCAGTTTCCTGCCATCTGTGGTTTGCAGGACTGGGTTCATGACCCAGGTGGGTAGACGTGGGAAGCCGGCCTGCACCTCCAGCCTAGGCACCTGTGGGGCATCCCCTTCTAGGGCACTGAGGGGGTTTCCAGGCTTGGACCCACTCAGCCTTGTCTCAGAAAGCAGCCCCACCAACAACATTTCTTTCTCTGGCTTCTGCTGCTCGTTTTTTTTTTTTTTTTTGATTTCCTTTTAAGCACCCAGAAATATTTATCAAGTTTCAGGTGTCAGGGGCAGAGAGTGGAACACAGTGCCCATACAACCCTCTGTGTGTCACTCCCAGAGGGCAGGGGACACAAAGGTGCCACCAGGAACTGGCTCCTGTGCTCTGGGCAACCTGCACCTGCTCTTACCCTATCGGCCTGTTTTATTATCCTGGGAAGTTAGTGGAGGTCAGCTTGTTTGTAGTGATTTCTCAGAGAGACTGCTGAAATGCTAGGGAAGCTAAGAAGCAATGAGCAGTGTTCTGAAGGCTCCTCCCCAGACACCAGAGTAAGACAGGAGCCAGCTACAGTGTTGGATTACCTAAGAGCCACCTCTTCTCCCCTTCCTTTGTCTTCCCTTCCTCTCCCCTCCCCTCCCCTTCCCTTTCTCCATCCTTCCTTTCCTTTCTTTGGCTCTCTTCCCTTCCCCCGTGGGCTTCACCCACCCCCCGCCTTCTCCCTGTTTTTGTGCTTTTCTTCTTGAAAACAGTAGGTTCTCCCCACAAATGTGCCCACCTCAGACATGGTGTGGTGTTTGCAAGACCAGGCAGAGTTGAGGAAGTAGGCAGTGGAGGCTGACTCTGCCCTGAAGCTCATGGGAAGCCCCTACCTTGGCCCTCAACCCCCAGAGCTCCCCTTAAAGGCCCAAGGAAAAAGTCTGGCTCTCTGTGCTTCAGGAGCAGAGCTGAGTGGGAAGGCTGGGGGCAGTCAGTCCTGTTGGACTCTTCCTCAGATTTGTTTGTAAAGTAGGATATCCAGAGAGATGACTAAGGGAGTGCATGAGTATCTTCAGTGTCAGACACAGGGCTGGAAAGTTTTAGAACACTGGTAGTTGTGACAGTGGGACTGGGCTTGAGGCTCAGCCTGGCACATGAAAGAAAAACCACAGCTCCTGCACGTGTAGGCAGCCCCACCCCTGCTGCACCCCAGACCCTTGGCCAAGGTGTGCTGTGGTTTTCACACCCTTTGTGGAGCTGCAGGCTGCAGGTGCTGTGTGCAGCTCCCCGGAGAGCCAGCTCAGCTCTCCAGCTGGTAGAGAAGTCCAAGCTGGGGTGTGGGGCAGAAGAACACTCAGGACTAGGGCTCTGACCTGGGGCAGACACAGGCCCTCACTGTCTCCATTTTGCAGGGCACAAAGTTGGAGGCAAGAGCTGAGCCACTGGGGAGTATAGTATGGGTTAGGAGCAGGTGGATAGATGGAGGGTGGTATAAAGCTTAAAGAAAGGACAGCTGGATGGGGAGTTAGAGACACTGCACAAAAGGCGGTGACACATCCCGAGAAGTTGGCTACTCTATGTCTGCTCCCTGTTTTACACAGTAGGCACTTGATGAAGCCTGGATCGGCCTTCCCTTTTTCATGGTGTTGCCAATTTCAAGCTGGGAACTAGAAGACTAAATGCATGGTTAGGAAAGGGCAGGCACTGGCCTCTCCTGGCTGACCTCCACCCAGAGGGCACAATGCAAGGTGAGACTTCAGGGAGGAGGAGGCATCTGTGAGACTGAAAAAAGAATAGGAGGCCCTAAGTGCGTCATCTGTTCCCATGAGGGCTGCAAGTGTGACCAAGGACCAGGGAGCAGGTGTGGGAGGCAGCTCCTCATCCAAGGCTGGCCAGAATTGCTATGGACCACTCGGAAAGGAAGGCGGTTTCACAGCCACACCCTTCTGTGGCTGTGGGGACCACTGCCTGCTGGGTGCAGGGACCACTGCCTGCTGGGTGCAGGGCCCACTGCCTGCTCAGCCTTGTTCATCTTGGCTGAGGGGGCAGGGCATAATCTCTGGAACAGAATGAGCCAGACCTGCCTGAGGTGAAAGCAAGTCAGACTCTGGACTCCCAATTCTTCTCTAGCCCATCCCACCCAGCCCTGCTCACCTCACTCTGCCAAAGAAGCCAACGAGGCAAAATCTCCCAGCAAGCACCCATGGGTGCCTGGGTGCCTGCTGCTTCGCTGGCCCAGCAGCTTTGTGGGTGACCAACCCAGATCTAGGGAGCACTATGGCCCTCCACCTCCTGCTGCTGTACAGTTAAGACTGACATGTGACTTCAGCTGCTTCATGCTTTTTCCACCCTCCTTATCAATGGGTGCTGGACACAGAACCCAGGGCCTCGTGCATGCTAGGCAAGTCCTCTACCACTGAGCTAGCTACATCTCTAGCCCCCTTTTTACTTTTCCTATTTTGAGACAAGGACTCATTTTAAGACAAGTCACCCAGGCTGGTCTTGAAATCTTGATCCTCTTTCCTTAGCTTCCTGAGTAGCTGAGATTACAGGCCTTGGTCTCCAGGCTTACTTGATCCATTTTGCTAGGATTACAGAGCTAGTAGAAACCAAGCCTGGAGCTGCTGGTGGCAGCAGGAGAGAACATTTGGCCTGAGGTGAAGACATCACATGAGGAAGCAGAGCTGAGGGGTAGAGACTGTTGAGAAACCTGGGAGCTCCTGGATCGAGCCATGCCTGATGGAGGCACATGAGTATAGCGGCTGCCGTGTGCTTCACTTGTTTCTAGCTTTTGGCTTCTGGCCATGTGCACTTCCCAGCCTCATGGGGTCAGAAGGGGCCACACAGCAGGACTGGCCAAGGAGATGTGAGCCGAGTTCATACTTCAGGACAGAGCACTTGCCTGACAGGCACACTGGTAGTGACTGAGCTGGCCAGCTCTGGCTCTCTCTGCCTAAGGGGAGGACAGAGTTTACCTGTGAAGGCATGAACTATGAGCAGGAAATCAATCCTTTGTCACTTACTGCTGCAGTAGATGAGGGTGTTTGTTACACAGCTTATTTAAAGTGGGTATCTGTTACTTGTGGCAGAAATTCTCTAGCATCATCCTAACAGCCCACAATGAGAATACATCTTCCCTCATAAGAACAGACCATAACAAGAGGTGAAGGGGGCTGGGAGTGTAGCTCTGAAGTAGAATGCTTGCATAGCATTCCAGAAACCCCGGGAAAAACAAAAAATAAAAATTGAACGGACAAGAAGACCAGGGCAAAGTTGCTCTCTGCCGTCATGAACGGGCCTTCCGATAGCAGGTGGTAGAGTCTGTATTCCCAGCTCTGTCCTCCCAGAGTTCTGGAGGGCTGCCACCCCCTTTGCCAGGATTCCAGCAGCCAGACCCAGTATCTCCTGTGGGTTTCCACTGGGATATGTCTGGGGTCCCCAGGGTCTCATGCAGGAAGGAGGCAAGAAAAAATAAAACCCAGTCCTGCATCACCAGGGAAGGGAGGCCCCAGAGACCTGTCTGAGTCTACTCAGCCTTCTGAAAGCTGTGCTCCTCTTGGCCTTCCTGGTGGATGGAAAGATCTCTCTCCTCCTGTCTGGGACTGTGGGTCACCAGGACCTGGCTGCTACCTACCTGGCCTGAGACACACCTAAAGACCCAGAGGAACATGAGGCAGTGGTGAACCTCGCCTCCTGGGGGCTGGAGCTGTGTAGACAGGAAGAACAGGAAGCATAGACTCCTGGTGATAAACTGGAGAGGGGACATGCTGTCTAGAGCCAACCCACACACTCAAGGATGTACAGGATAGGAGCCAGCCTGCGCACGTCACCTTTGGGTGACCCCCACAAACACGTATTAATAAAACCCAACTTGGTCTGTCCCTGTCAGTGGGGCAAGGACTTAAGTTGCTGTGTGTCAGAGCCCAGATGGGCTGGGACTCTGAATAGGTGCTCAGTGATGTGGAGCCAATGAATGGATGAAAGGTAGAGGGGAGGAGCTGCCCACCCTGGTCTGAAGAAGGCACAGGGTGTAGCATTCCCAGGAAGCATGTAGATGAGGTAAGAACCCCCCACCCCTATTGCCCAGACCGTGGGGCAACCTGAGGTCCTGTCCCCAACTCTAATTTGAAGGCTTTTTTTTCCAAATTGATAGCCCATGCTGGTTAGTTTTCATCAATTGATACAAATAAAAGATACCTAGCAAGGGGGAACTCAGATGAGGAATTATCTCATTGAACTGGCCTAGGGCCATGCACATGAGGCCTGGACTGTGTTAAGGAGGGTAACTGAGCAAGCCAGTGAAAAGAAGCCAGTAAGCAGCATTCTGCCATGGTCTCTGCTTCAGTTCCTGCCTCCAGGTTCCTGCCTTGAGCGCCTGCCTGACTTCTCTCAAAGATGGACTGTGCCTTGGAAATGTAAGATGAAATAAACCCTTTCCTCTCCAAGATGGCTTTGAACGTTTTATCACAGCAAACTATGAAACTATGAAAACCCCAGATAAGAAGCCTTGACCTTGTGCTCTTTGCTGAGCAATGTGCCATCTCCCCATCCCATCACCCCAAAATGGTATCCAGGAGGCTCTGAGGCAGCAACCAGGCAGAACAGCCAGCACGCCCTGACACTTGCTTCCAACTTTGTGGGAGCCGTTTTAACCTTATGTCTCCTAGTTTCTTCATACATGAACCGAGTCTAGCGGTCACTTGTAGTTAGAGTCTCTGTGACATCAGGAGTTCTGTGTGGTGTCCAGGACAGGCTTGGTGTATATTCAAGTGCTCAAAATTCCAGCATCATTTCTACCATCAAGTGCCCTGGTCCTGGGCAATTTTCACAGGCTGCTGCTGCCCCTTGCTGCTGAGCACTGGAATGAGAGTCTGCCACCAGGCTTCCACGTTCCAGCTACTCCAGAACTTAACACCAGAAAGAGGGTTAAGAGTGGGAAGGACTTGCTGGGCGTGGTGGCACACATCTTTAATCCCAGCACTCGGGAGGCAGAGGCAGCCTGTTCTACATGGTGAGTTCCAGGACAGCTGGGGCTACAAGGAGACCCTGTCTCAAAAAGACCAAAAAAAAAAAAAAAAAGTGGGAAGGACCATGGTAACCCAGGCCATCAGGTTCCAGATTTGCACCAGAACCTTTTCATAAACAAGTCTTACAGGTTGGTTGGTGGGGGGGGGGGGTTTAAAAGACTAGAATTCCTTCTTGTAAACTAACAGGGTTTGAAAGACTAGTGTTTAATGATGCCTACATTGTGGAGGGAGCATGAGCTGCAACAATGGCAACTTGCCACAAATGGCACAGAGCCTTGATTCCCAAGGTGTGCACGTGTGTGTGTGTAAATGCAAAGACCTTGGAGTATCCTGGAGAGGCAGTTGGGGCCTGAGCCATTTCTGTAGTTCCCGGTGTGTGAGAACCATTTGTGTACTGCTTACTTAAGGTAATTAAGAGGGCCAGACTGGATAGGCAGGGAACAGAGGACACAGCCAAGGACATATGGCTCTGTGGGTGGCAGGTCAGGGGTGAGAGGGTGTGTCCATGAGGCACAGTGCCATTTTCCATCTCCTCGGTGAGGGGTGACAGGCAGGGTTGAGGCTGGGAGCCACCACCCAGTTCAGGTCTGGTGACTGGGAATGGGTGGCAGTCAGTGCTTAATATGTCTTCTAAATTTGAAGTCAGGCACACATTCTAGCTCCATAGTCACTAACACTCCCTGGCTGCTAACCAGAGGTCACCATCCTCATTTATGTTCCCAGGGGCCTTGGAGACATCTCAGCTTCCACCTGGTGTGAAGTTCCTGGAGACCTTTGTGCACAGCATGAGAGGACAGTCAGCTAGCTGCCTGGGTAGGTAGATGATGGATGGACAGTGGATGAGGATAAGTGAGTGGGCTGGATAGACTGAGGACTGGTGGGGAGAGGGAGAGGCTATGTAAATGAATGTTCACACAAGCCCTATATCTGCTTGAGCTGTATCCTGAATCCCCATGTTCTTCTCCAAAACATGTTCCCAGATGGTCTTGAGTCCATGGGAGGCCTGGGGAGGAAAGGCATCTACTGAGTCCTCAAATTCATGCTTGGTGTCCCTTAGCTCCCCAGACCTTCAAGGGAGGCCTGCTAGCCCCATCTCAGCTGAGCAGAAAAAGGCCCTGCTGGATGTAAGGGGTAGTATTGAAGTTATGGCTTCCCAACTTATAGCACATCCCAAATAGCAGGCACTAACCTAAAAACAGGCCACACCTGTTATTCTACCTTGGGACAGGGTTTCATGTATTCCAGGCTTCCCTGAAACCTGCTATGTAGCAAGGGATGACCATCTTCTTACCTCCACCTCCTGAATGGTGGGATTACAGGTATGCCCACCCGGCCTGAACACACTGTAAAATGGCTGTGCCGGATTCCCACCCTCACTCCTTGCATGGGTGTGACTTACAGCAGCCAGTACCATGATGGTGACCAGACAGGGTACAAGTTTGGGAGAGGCCACTAAGTGCCACAGCCATCAATGAGCATGAGATGTGGATAAAGAGGGGCCTGGGACTGGGGAGGCTCAGGCCAGGAGTGGGGAGTGGCCTGTCACATACTGAGGGCAAGTCCCCTGCTGTTGGGACTTGTTTGCATTTTTCAGGAAAAGATGGAGATCTAAGTTTTTTCCCAAGGTGAAAACTCAATTATAATTTTTATAATTACTTATTTTGTAGTTATTTTTATGTATATTGTTTGGTATGCATGTTAAGTGTACCATGTGCATGTAGTGCCCAGAGAGGCCAGAAGAGGGCACTGGATTCTCTGGAACTGGAGTTACAGATCATTGATAGCCTTCATGTGGGTGCTGGGAATGAAAGAGCAAGAGCAGTCAATGCTCTTAACCACTCAATCTCTCCAGCACCAAACTGAAGGTTTTTAACTTTATTAAGAACAAGTTAAATGTCATGTGCTAGATAACTTCATGGGACCAGATACTCCCCTCCCCCTATCCTCAGGCTTAACAAGGTCAGGAGCCGCCCTGCCCTATTGGACGGACAGGCCTGGAACCTCCTGAGCGCTGTGTGCTGCCCCCTCCCAGGGCTGGGCAGCCTGGGTGCACCTGTACATGTCCTGATCCTGGAGCAGCCATGCTTTGCTGGGTTATAGCTTAAAGCACAAGGATCTCTTGGGAAACAACTGTTAGGAAAATACATAAAACTAAACGCATTTGATTTAACTTTAATTAAAAAATAAATAAATACATGCCAAGGGGGCTTGTATCTAATGAGGAAAGAAAAGACAAAGTAAAATGGACAAAATCTACCTACAGGCCTTACTTTTGACAGGCAGGGATCCCCTTGGGAGTCAATGAGACCCTGGCTAGATCCAGTACGAGTTGGGATGCCCTGCCTGAGGAGGAACACAGGTCCTATGGTCCCCTGGTGACCTGTCTCCGAGAAGCCATTCCTCTCCCAGTCTGAATGGTGTGGCCTGAGCTGGTGACCTCTGATGACTCATGTGGTGGCAGCCTCTGTCCCTCAACAGCAGCCACCTCTCCAGATGCTGTTGGTGCTAGAGCAGCAGGGTGGAGGGGACCAAAGTTATCCACCAGAGCTGCATCAACATTCATATGCTGAAGAGGGCTCATGGGACAGTCCAGGATGAGCGGCAGAGCATAGGCAGTGGTCTTTGCCAAGGGTGGCATAAAGGCAGGCCCACCAGCTTGGAGGGAAGGCCTATAAATGGATCCACTTGTTCCAGTTGATGTCGTGGGGGAAGACACGGCCCAGGCGGATGGTGCAGTCCAGTGTAGGCTCATAGAAAGCGATGGTGCTCCCGGAGCCAGAGGGTGCCCCGGCCTCAGAGGTCTGGCCGAGGCCCTCCACCACAGGCCTGGAGAAGAGTGAGACAACCGCTGGCTTCCTCAGCAGGCGCTTCCGGATACAGCCAAGGGACTCCAGGCCCTGAGGACATAGACACATGGAATTACCAGGGCTTTGGCCCATTTGTTTGGGGACCTGGTCTTGTAGCATTTATGAAATGCACTCTACTAGGGAGCTGTTCTTAGGGCAGGAGGCGCATAAACATCACCTTGGGAGGCAGGCAGGGCCTAGCAGGATGATTTAGGCCAAGGTGGCCAGGAGAGAGGACAGTGGGAATGGGAGCCACAGTGACAGGGACCTCTGAAGGACAGGAGCTCTTCCCACCAGCCTGACTGGCCCCACATGAAGCCTGGCCTGGATGTGCTACAATTCGGGGACTGTCAAGACTGAATGTAGTACTAGCTCATCAGGAAGCTGGGGCCCAGAGCATCCTGGGTATGGGAGCTCAGAGCAGCCACCTGTCCAGGCTGGGAAGCAGCTGCCTGTAGGAGGTAGTGGGTGCAGTCCCCAGCTCCCAGCCAGGCTCCTGAGGGTTGTGAGCATGTGACCCTGGTATAGAACAAGTCAGAGAAGACTGGAGTGCAGATCGATATAGGAAGGTTGTAGTGGGGCAGGCCTTGGACATGGACCCAAGGAACTGGGAGCCTGCTGCTGGGGTAGGCTGCAGCCAGTCAGGAGAGAAGGGGACCAAGAGCCAAGCAGGAGCCCAACAGCAGATCCCTCTGCCAATGGCTAAGGTGATTACACTGCGGGTAAAGCCTCCTGGGGCCCTGTGTTGAGTGGCCCTCCATGGACCTGACTCCACCTGTGCCCCCCCACCCCCCAGCACAATTGTGCTGATGCCCTGGGCCCTACCCGGAGCAGCTCAAGCACAGCAACTGGCTGCAGGACGCCCTGGTAGTACTGCAGTAGGCAGTTCTCTGGCACACCCGGCCTGGACATGACGTGGTACAGCACGGCCTCCATCATGCCCTTGCACACTGGCACGTTCAGGCGCCCATCCACACCACGCCATGGGCGGCCAATGAAACACACACGCTCGCAGCCACTGTGAAACAAGCACTCAATGTTAGGGTGAGGGTGGGACAAGGAAGGGGACACACTTGTCTGCCTGCTGCTCTCTGGTCTTCATCTGCCCCACTGGCTGGGTGAATGGCTCCTCCCACTGAGTTCACTCACAGACGTCGTCATGTAGCACCTCTGCCCAGAAGCTGTGCCCTGGGCCAAAGGCACAAAGACACAAATGCAACTACTAATCCAGGGCTGGTGGGCTACATGGACCCAGGTGTGGGACAGGCCCCAGACTTGTCAGATAAGTGGCTCTGGCAGCCATGGGTGAGCCTTGGAGGGTACCATCTAGGCCCTGTGGGTCAGACACAGGGCACAAGGCTTTGCAGGGCTGAGCTACACACATGATGAGAGGTGCCTCTCCACCGCCTGAGGGGTATAGCCTTCCTGATGTGCTACAAGGACAGAGGAACTTCCAAGTTCTGGTTAATCTGTTCACATGTGAGCTAGTGGACCCTCTCCTCATGGTACAATGGGTATGAGGGCATGGGGGTGGGGGGCTCTGGGAGGCCCCAGTGATGTGCCAGTAGAAGCAGCTGACTGGGGCTTCTTTTCTTGGTGAGTGCAATGGGCAGCCTGGAGGATGTTGTGGGTACTACAACTGCTAGCACTGCAGCTCCTTGCCACAAAGGCCTCTCCAGCGTCCCTGGCTGGGAACCTCTGTTCAGGTCAAACCACCCTGGCCTATACCCCACAAAGGAGCCTCATGCCAATGACTGACACTAGGTCACCAGACTGGGAGCCAAAGTCACGTTTCACCCCATGTTCTGACTCATCACACAGGCCTAAGAACCCCACTCACCTCTCCCATGCTGCCTGGGCCATGTTGCTCTCTGAAAGTCCAAGTCCTGAGAGAGAGGAAAAGATGGTAGGGTCTTAGAGGGCAAAGTGGGAGGCCATGTCCCCCACCCCCTCATTCAGTAGGCACTGAAACAGGTAAGTAGTCACCCGAAAGATAGCCCTCCTCCCAGTGTGATGCTCCTGGTGGCTGAAGCCAGGGCATCATGGATAGGGCCGGGACACAGCACAGTTGCAGAGCTGATCCTAGCCTGAGGGACCCAGGTGCAGGGAAGCCAGCAAGCCCACACAGGAGCCACAGGATTGAATGCAGAAAGCTCTCAGGCAAAAGAGCCCAAAGGACAGCAGCAGATGCCACAAGGAAAGGCCCTGCCATTGGCCAAGGTGCTTTAGGCTTCTGGGAGTGAGTATGCTCTGTCCAGAGAACCTTCCTGCTGTGCTGTCACACCTGTCCAGCTCTCCAGTGGACACACAGTAGAGCTTTGCTGTGACCAGCTGAAGCCTCTGGGTGGCAGGGCAGGTTCCTAGTCTCAGAGGTAGGGCTGGGCCAGTCAAGTGAGGAACAGAGACTACAGAGAGGTGTTAAGGTTGATACCTCTTGGGTCTTCAGAGCCTTCTGGAAGCTGGAAATCATAGCTCAGTTGTTCTAGGCTTGAGACACCAACCCCTTCCTGGTTCTCCTGCCTGGCGCCCCCTGCACCTGCATCTTCAGGAGCTGTGAGCAGAGTCAAGGCCTGGGTCTGCGTGTGTTCTGCCCTGGACCAGGGGCTGGCCGCCATGCGAATGTCCTGTAGTGTGGGCCTCTTGGTGGGGAGCCTTGGGGCCTCCTCCACATCAGCCTCAGGGTTCTGACTAGAGCAGTGCACACGCTTTTTGGTGCTGTGGGGGCTGACTGGAGGCACGGCCTGCTCCTCAGAAGTGCTGTCCTCATTGGCAGGCCCCTCAGGGAGTCTGGTTTGGGGGTCATCCTCTGTGGCCTTGGCATCTAGCTCTGTGTCTCTCAGACGCATTGAGTGCAGGAGCCAGGGATGGGCAGAGGCCATGGCCACCAGGCGCACAGTGCTGCCTCCGACTTCCATCACCTGCTGCTGATCCAAGAGGTCCTAGGAGAAGCAAGAGACACAGGGATTTGTCTGGAAGGGAGTTAGGTGGATGACAAAATGTCAAACATGAGCAGGCAGCAAGGCCAGGTCCAAAAAGATGGCCCTGTGTGGCTCTCTATGGCACGATACATCCAGATGCCTGAACTTTACAGTACAGTTGCACCCCCACTGCCAATGTGATTTTACAAGTCTCCCCATGGCGTGGACTTGCAGTCCAGATCTAGCATGTTTTCCTCCAAAGTGGTCACTATTCCAGTACAAAGACAATATTCCTCCCATGTGTATGCCACACCTGCTCCCACTGTCTGCATCTGTCCAGGAAGTGCCCCAGGAGTCACTATCAACCTTTCTGTTTCTATAAACTGTACAAATCCAGTGACAGCCAGACTCAGACCTTACACTCTAGAATACAGGTCTAGGGTAGGTGCTGTGGGCACAGCAGAAGCTGCCTGGCCTACTACTCTCTTGTGATCAGTAGGCTCTTCCTCCAAAGCCTAAGAATATTCCTTCTCCAGGCTGTGGGTTAGTTCTCAGGGATACAAGCAAGAGCAGTGAACACTTTAACACCGCTGAATGGCACTCCCTGCCCTAAGGGCTCCTTAGACAGCCCTAGACCCATCTCCAATCTGACTGGGTTTCCTGGAGCACCCTGTGTCTCCAGGTCTCCCAGCCCTCAAAGACTCATAGCTCCAGTTGGCTCCTCATTCTGAAGACCCCAGATGGAGGCCTCCATGGCCAGTTTGCATCCTGCCACCTGCAGCTAACACCAGTTGCAGCATGCTTTGGACTCAAGGGTGACTTAGTCCAACAGACCAGGAAGGTAATGAGGTGAGTCTAGAAGGTACAGGAGGCTTGTGTGTAGTGGAGACACAAGAGTCAGGATGTGGCTTATCCCAAGGACAGGTAGCTGCTACAGGGTTCAGTTACTTCCTATACCTGGGAAAAGCTGGAGTTGGGGAACATGTCCTGACTTTTAAATGGTAGCAACCAATTTAATTAAGGGGGGAATCCCAGTACCCCCCCCCCAACACACACACATACTAAGCCCATCTTGCAGTATGCGCCTGGCCTGGAGTGGTAAGCTTTGCAACCCCCATGCTCCCAGCTTGGCTCACCTGGACATAGTCTTGGAATGTCCTGGTGCGCTCACCGGCTATCTTCTCCAAGACCCAGAACTGCCTACTTAGCCTTTCCCTGTCAACCCCAAAGCAGTCGGCAGCAGCCACAGCCTGCAAGATGTCCAGGGAGGCAACCACGTCCTCAGGACTATATCCAGACAGCACCACCTGCTGGGCAAACTCTTCTAGACTGCAGGTGCGCAACTGGGGGTCCACCAGACTGGTGAAAGAGTCGGGGAGGCAGGAGGGTCCCACCTGGAGCTCTTCTAGAGGTGTGGCTGTGAACCCTAAGACCAGGAGGAGAGCAGTATTAGCCCACAGAAGGCTTTTGAGGCCCATTACTTGTGGGGTGCTAAGGTGGGATCTGTACCAGTCTGTTGCTTCTCAGGCAGTCATGGGGTCAGCTTCTGGGATCACAATGGACTAGCAGTCTGGCTCTCAGTATGTGATGATGGGCCTGACTGCAGCCCCTGCCACCATGACAGTGCTGGATACATGTTAGACTGGGGCCTGTGAAGCCTGATGTTCAGCACCCTGGCCAGGTTCACTGAAACCCATGTGCTTCTTACCTACCCAGACTCTGTGTGACACCCTGAGGCCCCTTCCAATGCAGTCAGGCTTGTGCCTTGGGAAGGCCTTTTGAAGGGGTCTTTGCTAAGACCATGGTCTACAGATTGGCACTGTATTTTTGCCTGCTCCAAACCCTAGACAAAGCAGAGTTGTGACTGTGCATAAAAAGTAACATCAAATACCACCCACTTTGTCCATGTGGGCTGCAGGGAAGAAGAAGAGGAAGAGAGGCCAGTGGGAAGGGAAGAGGAAAAGCTCAGGCTATTTAGAGTCTCCCAGGTGACCAGCAGTGGGCCCAGTGGCAGAAGTGTTATATCAACCATGGAGAAGGTAGGAGGCCAGCAAGAGCTGAATACCCATCCTTCACAGCCAAGAGTCAAAGGACAAGATTTTAAAAGTGTCACAAAGTAGCCGGGCATGGCGGTGCACGCCTTTAATCCCAGCACTTGGGAGGCAGCGATCTCTCTGTGAGTTCAAGGCCAGCCTGGTCTACACAGTGAGTTCCAGGACAGCTGGGGCTAGAGGGAGACCCTGTCTCAAAAAGACAAAAAAAAAAAGGTGTGAAGTGTGAGACTCAGGGGAAGGTATCAAAGAGGGTAAGAGGCATGAAGCATGGGCAGGGCTCTGAGCTGCTAGTGACAGAAGTGCCACTCTCTACACCTGTGGGGGCTGTGTGCCTGGCTGGAGTACTAGGAGGAGCCACAGGGTTGCCCCTAGCTGTGGCAGGACACTCACCCTGGGTGGGCCCAAGCTGGGTAGGTGCAGGAGTGCTGCGGAGCCGGAACTTCACCTGGCAGGAGTTGACTACAATGCTGTCGTTGGGGTTCAGGTTGCGTGTGCTGACCATGCCAGGCATTGTGTAGTAGCCCCTCATCAGCAAGTACTTGGTGTGTGAGGCCTGGTGGGCTTTTACCTCTACACCCTGGCGCTTGGCCCCCGAGCCTTCATCCAGGTCCTCCTCCTCCTCGTCATCATCCAAGCCCCCATCCTTTCCTAGGCTGCAGGAGAGGAGATGAAGTGGTGGGACTCAGATTCCCCTCAACTGGTGACAGCACCTAGCTGTCAGCACACACCACTTCTGATCCTCCCTGCTACACTAACCCTTCCCACACACCTGTCTCTACCTGGGATACCTTCAAATGTCCTGTCCAAAGTCTCTGCCTCCCCATGAAGTCCCAGCTCAGCTTGGCCATCAGAAGGACCCTGGACCTACATTTCTTTCCCTGATGTGCTTCTGTATACCCTCAGGAGGCACATATACACAAGAACATGTATGTATACCACACACACACAGACCAGAGTTGAGCAAACAAGCCTGTCTATGCCATTAGGCAATGATGATGCCTAATGCCCCAAGAATCTGCCTCCCTAAACTGTGACCAGAGCCATATGCATGGTGCAAGCTCTTGACTCTGACCTTTTCATAACCTCACTCTCCACCATGGAGCTGTCGACCACCACAATCTGCTCTGGGATTCTGACATCCACAGAGAGCAGCCCCAGGGAGAAGAGGGCCAGGGTTGTCACACAGTTTCCTCCAGGGCTGTCCAAAGAAAATGCCACCAGATCACTTGGGGGGTCGCTGTTATCCAGATCTTTGAAGGAAAAATGATCAGGCTGGTCTTGCATGCCGGCAGCCAGAAGTCTCTGGTAGAATTGGAAAGATTCTGTGCAGATGGTGCTGGGAAACCGCCAGGTGAAGAGCCTGCAGAGAGAAAGCAGGGGCCCACTGAAGAGCAGCTGTAGAAGCAAGCCTTCATTGTGCCACAGTCCGTGAAAGTATGCTCAAAGCTGCTGCACCTTGCCCCCTGAAGCCCTCTTGCCCACTTTGACGCCACCTTGTGATCCAATGCAGTCCAGACATTTCTTCCCCAGTCACCTTGTACCTCTGAGGTGGGGCTGTCTTTTCATCTAACCCAAAGGCTTTGTAGACCCCATGCCAACAACTGCTGACCCAAGGAGGAGGTTTCTCCTTTTGTGATAGTAACTGCATACAAGGGTGGAAGGACACCGGTGTCCAATATCACTGTATGCAGATGTGAGTAGAGACCCAAGAGGTGTTTCCCTATCTGCTGGGCATACCCATGCCTTCTGCCACTGCTCCCTCCCCAGAAGCAAAAGGACTCAAGGTCATCAGAATGAGAACCTGAGAAGCAGGAAGTGCCTGGAGTACCAGGCAAAGGCATAGGGGAGGCCAAAAGAACTTGGGGTGGGCTCTTACACTATGCAAACGTGGCCCCCAGGAGTGACATGCCATGCCACATCAGCACGAGGGGCTTCCCTGCCTGAAAGCAGAGGCTGTGGTGTAGAAGCTCTAGCTCTACCCTGCCCAGCCCAGAAGGGTACATGTACTACATGGGGGTGGGATGGAGAGGAGTGGGGTGGGGGGTAAGGATATAAGGCCAGCCCACAGGGAGGATGCACTGGCATTGGATTGCTTATGAAACTTGAAACTGACAAGGTACACACCACCTGCTTCCTGGCCCAGCCTCTTACATAGTTCTCCTGCACAAGAGAGATAGGCAGTACAAGAGAAGCCCTTCCCTGGCAGAGAACACATCTTGCTCCTGAGATGAACTGAAAGGTCAGGGCTACCCTCCAAAGGGCACTCAGCACACACTCACTTGTAGTAGGACTGGGACAGCTGGTAGGACATGGGCACAAAGGGTACTGCACGGTTCTTCTTGGGGCCCTGTGTGTGGCTGACACGGCGCCGGTTGACCAGGCTCTTCTTCTGGCACTCCATGAAGGCACGAACCAGCACGGGCTCCCGGAACTCCCGGTAGAGGCGGAAGATCTATAATGGTACATGGCAGGGTGAGGTGACTGGCCCACTGGGTGGAGCTGGAGCACTGCAGAGTAGAGGCTACAGGGGCCGCTCAGGAAGGCTGGCTCAGCTGATCAGCTCCTGAAGATCTCCAAGGGGCCCCTGGGATTTCCTAGTGACGGAGGACAGTGAAGCATGAGAGCTAGGTGACACTCTTAAGGCTATACTTTGAGGTGGGAATGGAACCAAGGAGAGGAGAGTAGCCTCACCTCTGAGGAGCTGAGCAGTCAGTAGGGCCTTGGGCCACATGGTGGGGTTTCTTGGAGGGGTTGATTTCTCTAGGCAGTCTGTCTGCCAGGCCTGGGTGTGCACATATTCAAGGCCCCATGGGGAAGACTGTATGGGGTAGAAGGAATGCCAAGATGGCAGTTTTTCATTTTTTCCTCCCTATAGAGAAGTGGCACAGAAGCTGCAGTCAGGACCAGCGACCAGCCTTCTGTAATGTCTGCTCTGTGGCTGGGCACATCTCTAAACACCTGCTGCTGTATGCCGGACCATGTTGACCATGGCTATGGCATTTACCCACTTGGATCCTGAGAGACCAGGCTGTTGTAAGATGGCAACCCAACAAATGCCTGGCATGCTTGCAGCACCCACTTACTCCTAGTACTGTTCTCTGGAATCTGGGCTGAACCTCTGCCATCATTGCTGATGGCTCTCTGGTCCTCACTGCCAGCTTCTGGCAGACACAGATGCATCCTGCTTGCTCTGGGGGATGGAAAGCTGGGGGCCCAGTGGTCTTTCTCACATGACTTCCTCAGGGGGACAAGGCTAGACTTGGGCACCTCCCAGCTGAGCCTGGGAGCCCCTGGTGATGGGAGCAGATTTAGAGCAGTGGTGCTACTGGGCCTGGCTTTGCTATTAATTGGTGGTTGTCTTCTTTCTTCTCTGGGGCTGAGGAAGGCAGGATCCCCCAGGCCCATTGGCCCTGCCTCACAGGAAAGGTTTTGTTTTTACCTTTTTTTTTTTTTTTGGTCTTTTTTGAGACAGGGTCTCCCTGTAGCCACAGCTGTCCTGGAACTCACTATATAGACCAGGCTGGCCTTGAACTCACAGAGATCCACCTGCCTCTGCCTCCCAAGTGCTGGGATTAAAGGCATGCGCCACCACGCCCGGCTTCCTTTTTTCTTTTTGAACAAGCATAAGCTCAACAAACAACTGGTATGGGTGGCTGTGTCTGCCTTTCTGTCTACTCTCTCTGCATTTCATGCTCACATGATGCTCCATGTTCTCCAGATGCAGGATGCCCATGAAGCTAAGGGGCCAGTGGCACTGGTAACGAGGTTCTCACTTTGAGCTGTGTACTTTTTCTGGGCATAAACCTGAGAGAGAGGAGACAGTAAGTGCTGCCTGGCAACAAGTGCATGGGGTGTTTGCTGGGCCTCTAGATTTGGAGTCCTAGGTGTCCCTGTAGGGCGCAACTGTATCAGCTGACTTAAAGCTTGAGAGATCACTGGGAGGAGGGAGGGGTCTGCTGAGGCCTGGCCGCTATTGTCAATGTCCAGGGACAGGACAGTGCTCTGAGGCAAAGTATCAGAAAGCACCTTCCTTCAGAAGCCCTACTCTCTCCAGCCATGCAGCCCCACTCCCTGGCTGGGATGCACGAAGAAAGCAGCATGACCTGATCAGCAGCAAGCACTGAGCAAGCACCCACTGCTCTCTATTTCTTGACTGTAAATGCAATGTGGCCAGCTGCTTCAACTTCCTAGGCATTAGACTGTACCCTTGAACTGTGATTGGAAATAAACTATCTCTTGAGTTGCTTATCAGATCACTTGACCACAGCAACAGGAAAAGAAACTAGACAGTGGGCTGGGGTCCCTATAATCAGCATCAGGGACAGGGAGGACCTGGTTTGCTAGCACCCTGTCGTTCCACTCCTGCCTGAACCTGGGAGTAGCTAGGGTCAGTATGTTGAAGAAAGTGCTCAGGAGGCTGTGGCTTGATAAATCAGTAAATAAACAAAACTCCCAAGAAATAAGGACAAAGGAAACTCAAGTACAAGCCTGGGCACTGAGGCCCCTGAGCCCGACAGCTAAGAGGAACAGGAGTGAGCACCCACATGTTCTGGTCTCTTTGGGACCACGTCCTAACTGTGCTGAGGCTGGCACCCACCTGGAAGGACTGGCAGGAATTGGATTGGCTGTTGGAGAGGGACAGCGTGCTCTGGATCAGGTTCTGCAGCACCAGGAAGTGGATGTCCTCCACGCTGAAACACAGGAGGTACCAGAGTTGCACAAGGCTGCTGGCCCATGGCAACTCTCATCATGGGGTGAGTGCACACATGTCAAACTCCTAAAGGATATTTCAATTTCATGCAAGTGACATGAAGGCCAGACTCCAAACAAAATAAATGACAGCTCCTAGGACTTTCTAATTGGTCAAGATTCACAGCAAAAAAATTCCCAGTCAGATGCCTGTCTGTAATTCCAGAACTGGGGAGGCTGAGATGGGACACTCATGAGTTCAAGGCCAGCCTGGCTTACAGAGCAAGTTCCAGGTCAGTACGAGTAAAACGGTGAGATAGTTTCAACAAAACAAAAGTTTTCCCTTAGTGGGCAGTGGATGATATGACATGGAACCAATTTGTAAGCTACCTTTAGGCAGGTAGTGCATGTGTTTTCTTTTGCTCTGATTATAAATGAGAAAGAGGATCGTTTTTTCCACTGCATTATAGAGCTAAAATCGGACTGAGTATCTGAGATGGGAAAAAAAAAAAAACAAAAAACAAATCAGCTCTGCTGGGCTGAGTTCACATCCTATGCATCCCACCTTCAGGCCAGGCTGGGGACATCAGAGGTTAGGGCTTGACCAACTTCCTCTGTAAAGGGCCAGACAGACTCCATAGGCTCTGTGAAAACCATTTAGCACAACAAAGACACCATAGCCAACACATCAAACGAACATGGCTTGTGTTCCAGTAAAATTTTATTTATATAAAAGGTGGCGGGTTAGACTTGGCCTTAGATTATCCCATTTAGGCTGTAGTTTACAAAAAGGAACTTGAGCTGGACATGGTGGCGCACACCTTTAATCCCAGTACTTGGGAGGCAGAGGCAGGCAGATCTCTGTGAGTTCACAGCCAGCCTGGTCTACATGGCAAGTTCCAGGTCAGCTGGGACTATAGGGAGACCCTGTCTTAAAAACACCAAACACAAACAAACAAAAAAAAGCAAAAGCAGAATGAAGAATAAAGTTGAATTTAAACAAAACAAAATGCAAAAAGGCTTGTGCTGCGGAGATGGCTCGGTGATTAAGAGCACTGGCTGCTCTTGCAGAGGACCTCAGTTTGATTCCCAGCACCCACATGGCAGCTAACAACCATCTGTGACTCCAGCTCCAGGGGAATATGACACCCTCTTCTGACCTCTCTGACACTGTACAGCACAGGTGCACTCATATACATGCAGGCAATACATTCACACACAAAAAATAAAAAATTAAGTATTTTTTTTAAAAAAGGAACTTACCTATTAAGTTCATCCTCTTTCCTGACACGATCTTTTTCATATCCGATTGCCAAAACTCGGTATCTGTAGAAAACAGAAGAGCATGCTGGTGGGCACAGCAGCTCTCCACAGAACTGCCACTTGCTCATGTTGGTCATTCACTGCTGAAGTGCAGCACATGCTGAACTGACGTAAGTCAGAGACCACACATGGAAATTGCAAACACACACCAAGTTCCACCCATCCGACAAGCCTCATTCTTGTGAATGAGGGCTGGGGAAGTGACCTCTTACAATCATGAAGCATGGCAGGGACACCCAAGTCAGCAGGGAGCTACTGTCCATTGCCAATAGAGCAGGATGTAAAACTGTGGGCTCACTGTGAGCAGAAGACAAGCAAAGACAGGAGACTACAAGAAAGTACCCACAGGTAATTGGGGCGGTTATGGTGTGTTTGCATGTGTGTGGGTGCACATATGTGTGTAGGTCTGAGTGTATGTGTGTGTGGAGGCCAAACGCCTTGAGTGTCTTTCTCGATGGTTCTTTGCATTATATATTGAGGCAGGGTCTTTCACATACCTAGAGCTCATCATTCAGCTAGTCTAGCTAGACAGAGATGCCCAGTCTCTGCCTCCCGAATGCTGGGATTAGAAGCCTAGCATGTGTACCTAGCATTTACATGGATGTTAGGGATCCACCCCATCTCACAGAAACCCAGTAGGAAGGTGTCTGAGGCTGAAGGTAGGAAGAGGGATGAGCAGAGGAACTAAACTGAACGAAGGTTAGAGTGCCTTGGTGAGAAGTGTGTTTTAGTGATCTCTTGTGCTTACACAATAATATACCACATGTATAAAAACATCATGCACCTTATAAATACATACCATTATCATTTGTCAATTGAAAGTAAATGAGTTGGGTATAGTGATAAATACCAGTAATCCAGCACTTGGGAGGCTGAAGCTGGAGGATTCTGAGTGCAAGGCCAGCCTAGGCTAGCTACATAGCAAGATCCTGCCTCAAAAAAACTGAAGACTACCTCTCATGGTATCAGTTGCCAAGGAAGAAAATCAATCAGTGGTCTTACCCAGCTGTGAAGCCCAATAAACAAATGGCCCAGCAAACTATCACTATTGGTGCAGTGCTGGCACTTTTATCTTGGGGATACTCAAGAGCTGTCTAAATGCAATTAAGGCTGGCTCAATGGGAGGGAACTCATGTGTAGTATAATAAACAGCCAAATACATGGCTGGAGAGGTCATAGATCTGAAAAAAAATCTACATTTGCCATATCCTTAGACCAATGTTATTTCTTACGTTATTCTAAATATGCATCTTCATATTTACAAACAAATGTACCTTTCACCCCTCATCAAAAAAGTTTCTTTTTGTAATAGATGGAAACTTTTTACAGAGTTCCAGACCTAGCCAAATGCAGAGAGTAAGTGTCTACATTTAATGGTGATGGCATGCACAAGTCCTATGCAAGCTCAAATCACACAAAATCCCAGCATAGAAACAGAGAAGTGGGTAAGAAATCCCACTAAGGACCATTAAGCAATTGATGGTTGCTGTGAGGGGGAAAGACAGTGTCCTATAGGGCTGGGACTCTTGGTGGGCCCAGTGGATAGATCCACACTGAAGGACACTGGGAGACACAAATACGCTATAGGTCATACTACATACTCTATAAGAGAGTTCATTAAATTGGGCAAGGGGTAGGGGGAGAGGAATGGAAAGGGGAGTAGGTCTAAATGCCATCAAGCTATAGTGTGTAAAAATTCAATAAAAACAAAATAAAAAGCTAAACAAGAAAAAAAAACAAAAAAAAACTAAGGGCTGGGGCTCTGCAAAGATGGTTAAGAGCACTGGCTACTCTTACAGAGGATTAGGGTTTGGTTCCAAGCACCTACAGGGCAGGTAACAACCATCTGTAACTCCAGTTTCAGGGGATTTGACATCTTTGTCTGACCTCTGCAGGCACTGCACACAAGTGCTGCACTTGCATGCATGCAGGCAAAACACTCATACACATAAAATAAAAATTAAAAAACCAAATTTAAAAAAATTAAAACAAAAAGCAACTGAGGGTTTAGAGGCTCAGCTCAGGGAAAGTGTATTTCCACAGCATGTGTAAGGTCTTGATTTAACTGCTAGCCCTAGAAAAGAAAAATAAATCACACAAAAAAGCAGCAGTGTTTTGAATGGCAGGAAAAAAGAACATTTCCAGTCTTTTCTTTGAGCTTCATGAAGCATCACTTTACACAAAGTTCCAGTAAATACAAAGGAAACCACAGAACTGACTTTGGGAAAACATGGCTATTCATTAAGTCATTCCTTTGGTTACTAGAAAACAAAGTTGAGTGAAATCTCTACTATTACTTTGCAATAGTAAATTCTTGCTAAAATCTTGTGCCAAGAAAAAGCACCTTTCTAGAAAAATCAGTGTTTTAGTCAAATGGAGAAAGCACAGAAGCTTGTTTCACTGTCTTGCCTGCAGGACTGCTTAGGGTCAAGGACAGAGCTCAATACCCATACCTGCAGAGCTCTTTTTTCAAAATCCTTAACCGTCTTCTTTTGGGATTACAAGTTGCCTCTAGGTGGACAAATCACTGAGATAGTTTTAAGTCCAAGCATAAATCACATATCCATGCATGTGAATTCTAGGGAGTGATTTACTGCCAAGAAAGAACAACGCCCAGCAAACAGCTAAAAGGTGTTAATTCTAGTAAGACCAAAGTGGGGTGTGGTGATACATGTCTAATAATCCCAGAGCTGGAGAGGCTGAGGCAGGAGGAACGCCCCAAGTCTGACACTAGCTTGGGCTACAGAGTGACTTCAAGGTCAGCCTGTGCTACATAAGGCAATCTGCCCTCCCTCTCTTCCCCATGTACAAGCAAATTACTATGGAGACCTGGCAGACTCTGTTTATGAAAAATTAAGAAACACAGGGGTCTGGAGGGCTTCCTCCATGAGGATTTGGGGGAAGGGGGGTTAAGAGGACTTCCTCCACGAGGGTAGGGGTAGGGGAGGAAGAGGGCTTTTCAGTGTGGATTGGGATGATGAAGAGGGATCCTCCTCTGGACGATGCTGTAAAAATGGGCCTGGTTCACCATCCTTCTGACTACCCTGGTTCTGTTCTCGCACTAGTGTGTTCTTCCAGAACACAACTGGTTGAGCAAGAAACCAAGCATGGGACCTGGCACTGCTTACAGTGTACAGCACTGTGACTCTGCCTGGGAACAGTGGTTGTGCATGACGACCTGGCTGCTGCCCTAGACACTGAACACCAGGGGTCCCACAGCCCCTCTCCTCTCCTCTCCTCTCCTCTCCTCCCCTCCCCTCCTCTCCTCTCCTCTCCTCTCTCTCTCACCCCTGGTGACTATATGGTGTACAGCCTGATACTTTGGATGCATTCTGTAAGAAATAAATCATTATGTCCCATTTTCAGTATGAAGTATCTTTAGAGCTCATCAATGAATTTCAGATAAGGGATATTGATTTCCTCCCTCCCTCCCTCCCTCCCTCCCTCCCTCCCTCCCTCCCTCCCTCCCTCCCTCCTTCCTTCCTTCCTTCCATTTTACAGTCTCCTCATATGTAAAAAGTGAGCCAATCCAGCAAGAGGTGCCCACCTGACATGGGCCTGGATTAATTAAGTGGGAAAGGGGACATATGTCCAAAGAGTGCAGGACTGGGAGTTAGCTTCCTTTCAGGTGACCTGAAATCAGAGGGTCAACTGTAAGGTGAAGTATAACCAGGCAGGCACAGTCCAGCTGGCTGATCTCTGCTTTCTACCTCAAAGTTCAAGGCTCTGCTCATGACTCAGCACAGGGTACCTACTTGGCAAACAGCTCTTGCAGTGTGTTGGGGATCTCAAGGTTGGGGTTCCTTAGGCCAGAGCTGAACTTCTCTTTCAGCTTCTCCACAAACTCTTTAAACTCCTTGGCACAAACCTATGATGCAAGAGAGATGTCACAATTTCGCATTACAGAGGGGCTGTGTGTGCACCAAGGACAACTCGGACAAACTCCTATGGCACCAATGCCCAGAAACAACAGACATGCTGCCCTCCCCACCTTTCCCACCCCTACCCAGAGTCTACCTGTCACCAGAGCAACAAACACTCACTGTTCTGCCAGGGATCTGGACACTCTGGGGTCAAGTAAAAACTGATCTTCATGCCGGAACCCACCTCCTCCAGCCCCAGAAGGGAAGAGGCAAACAAAACCCCTGCATAGTCTCAAGCATGCACAAGGAAGCTATAGCTGCCAGACCTGTGCTGTCCTACGACCTCCCTTTTCTCAGCTGGATTCTCTGTGGCTGCCCTATGTAAGATGACCTCCTTGAGTTCCTCCAGCCCCACACTCACATGGACCCTAAACCAGCCCCTCCTGCACACATGTGGGCAGCCACTTCCTCCACTGTCGCAGTGAAGTCTGCACTGGCCTCACATCCTCCCTGCAGCTCAGCCCCGACAAGAAAAGCTAACAGCTCAGGATCATATGCAGCAACAGAAGTAGGACTTTTTCCCTGGACCTGACAGGGCAGCCCACAAATTCTGTCCCACCTGGGGTATTGCTGTGCTCCAAGGGGGTTGTACTCCCTCACTTCATTGCCTCCGCTCAGCTGTTCCAGGCTTCCAGGTCTCAAGCCAGAGTAGACACCTCCGGAAAGCCCTCAGGAGCAGACATGTCCACAGCCTATCCCTTATCTAGTCTTTCTTACTAGAAGAGGTGCCCTGATTTGGTCTGGGGATAGGATAACTGGTTTCTCAGGATAAGCCAGGGTATGAAACCACCTGTGCTACCTCAAACTCTATTATCAGGTCACTCTGCCTAGCCATGTGATCTGGGCCTGCTGGGGGTTTCCGGAAGATTCTGCCCCTAAGGCTCTGTGCTCTAGATGGGACACCTGAACTCTAAGGTTTATCTGTAACCTAGGGTGACAGTATAGGATGAACCTGGGGATGAGCTCTTTGCCCATTCCAGCTTGAACGCAACCCACCACCCAAGGACTGCTTGGTTTGTGGGACAGGTGAGGCCTTTCGCCTCACGAGGCTGCATGTACTTCGGTGTTCCTGATCCTCTCCAGTCCCCGGACCCCCTCCTTCCTCATCTGGAAGCAGGCTCCCCATGTGGTGATGGCCAGCACCTTCTCTACCTGTCCCATCTCGCTTCCCTGGCAGCAGGCCTGACATGAGTATAGCAAGGTCTAAGGTGGTATGAGAGTGGGCCAAGCACACAGCCAGGGCAGAGGCACCTGGGCCTGCACAGCTACTTCATCCTCATCAGCCACCGCCTGGCCCACCTGACAGTGAACCCAGAAGCAGCTTTCTAGAGTCTGCTGTCTCCAGTTTCTAAAGAACTGCTTTGTTCTCTTAACAAATAGGTCCCAGGCTCAGCGGCATTTGAAAGTAACAAGTCAAATGTGGTCATTTTCAAAACTGATGTCTGCAGCCAGAGCCAATGGTCCAAAGGACTGACCAGTAGACTCCATGTTTGTAGGGTCCTAAGGGCCCTACATTCACAGCACGCTGGGCTCTGCCTCTGTGTGGGACCTACCTTTGGGTCTTCATAGTTATCCTTGCGGCTCATGAAATCACCAACAAGTGCCTTATCCTGGTACACCTCTGCCAGGCAGACCCTGTGGGAGGAAGAGTCAGTGATATTGCAAGTTGGACTCACGTCTTGTTCTAAATGAGCATTAGAACCTGCTGGCCTCAACTTTCTGGCCTTGGCTCCCTGAGAGCTATGATCTACCTAAGTGACTGCTAGACAACTGGCTTTGGGGAACGAGCACTGTAGAGTGCGCTCTGAACCCAATTCAAGTCAGGCTGGTCATGGCTCATACCTTCCATCTGGCTTCCATCTTCTACAGGGAGACTGAGGATAGTGATACTCTCCCTACAGCCCCACCTCATCACAGGGATTTGGCTAGAACCAAAGGAGGCAGCCGGGATGTAAGTGTGTGTGTGTAGCTTGGTGGCACACACCTTTAATCCCAGGCACTTGGGAGGCAGAGGTGGGAGGACCTTTTTGAGATCGAGGCCAGCCTGGTCTCCACAGCAAGTGAGTTGGGGGCCATCTATGGCTATAGGGAGATCTTGTCTCAAAAAAGACAAAGTTTTAAACTATTACACACTGATAATTGCTATTAGAGCTCCTGGTCCATAGCACTGCTTCTACCTATCAGTCTGTCCATGTCTGAGCTAAGTGGAGCTGGCCTGCCTAAAGGGAATGAAGGAGAAGTGAGCAGCACGTGTGCCTGCCATCCCAGCTGTCAGGGAAAGGGAAAGGCCAGTCAGGCAGGGCAGGGGTGGCCATCCTTACTACCATCATTCCACCTTCCAGGTAAGCAAATGGCCATGTCCTCAATATACAGGCCAGGGGCGCCTGCAGGGAAGATGGAACCCCAGGCCTGCTGACCTGGATTCCTCCTTTTTCTTGTGCCCCAGCCTGTGTTGGGGAAGTGCCAGGGAGGCCAGGTTTCAGACCTCACTCCCTGTCAACTCCCTGTCGTCCAGATACATCCTCTCTCTGGATATTTCTTCTTCTGAATAAAATAGGACTAGGTAGACACTTTTCCTTCGGACAGAATTCATTCATGGAAGGAACGAGAATATTCTATGCATAGGGAAAGTGGCTCCATACAAGAAACGCTGTGGTCACATCTTGTAGGCTCTTAATGTAGTCATCTCACCCCATTAGGACTGTCTGGAGGTGTTTGTGTGGTAAGGGTGAGAAAGGCTACAGAACTGGCCTGTGTATAGTCTTTTTCTCCATGGTCCAGCTGACTACAGATTGCGTGCAATGCAGGATCACTCCATGATCAGGGACAACAGTAGAGGAAGTTTTTCTGTCCTTGCCCCTCACTCAACCTGAATGCTATTGGTGGCATGCCTGGGTACCTTCCAGCTTTACTGAAGCTTTCTGGCCTTCCCTCCTTAGTCCCCTTATGGAAGGAGATGGGGGGTGGGGGGCTGAAGGGCCTGAGTGCTTTACTGCTTGGCCTGTGAGGAGATGGTAGGTTGGCTCTGTGGTATACTTTGTGATTCCTAGGCATCTGCTGTCCCAAGGCCTGGAACACAGGCAGAAGCACTTTCAGAAAGCCAGCTCTGCTGAGGGGTGGGTCCCAATATGTCCAATGACTCTGGATCTGTCTAGCTTTGTCCTGGGAATGAGCTCCATGAGGAATTTCTGGGGCCACTTTTGAGAGCTAACAGCACTAATGCCATTCAGGCCCATTTCCACATGGAGCTCTTGGACAAACACAGTCTCACCCTATGAGCCTCACTCTGCACCTACTTCCAAGGGGGCTCGAATACCCAAATAAGGTCACATATGTGAAAGTGCCCAGAACCACACCCAACCCTGGAAAAGTCAAGTCTGTCCCATTTGCAAACTTCTACACCTGCATTGCCAGCCGGAACACGTAGCGTACTCCATCTGGATTCTACACCCGAGTCTCAGCAAGTGGGAGGAAGAGGGAGAAAAGTAGCTACAGGCACTGGCCTAAGAGCCTGGTGATCGAGCTGCAAACATGGCTTACTTATAGTTCATAAAGGCCTGGGGGTTTTTGACTATGTAGCGAGCTCTTCGTCCGACTGAGTAAGAGGTCTTATCCAAGGACTCTTCAAAGGTAGCATGCAAAATGTCCCGTACAACCTGCCAGGTGACAAATGGTCCTTTCACCTGCATCAAATACAGAGTGACATAGTTACTGCAGTCCATGTTCCAGGCAGCTAACAGACAGGAGTGGGAACCAGTGTGTCCTAGGAGCCTGTTTCTCTAGGAAGGCTCAAAGCTATTACCTTACATCTGTCTACCCACATTAGTTGGCTCTGGCCATGTGCCAAGTACCAAGTGTGGCCTGGGTACCAAAGAGAACATGCTCTCAACGCCCTATGTGTGGGAAGTGTGCTTTCTGGCAAGCACGGTGTTGGGAGGTGCTGAGGGTGCTGGGTGGTACTACCGGGAAAGACAGAGTACCAGTAAGGTTAAGAGAACAGAAAATGTGCTTAGGCAGAGGGTTTTCTTGTTTGTCTTTCTTTTTCTAAGTGTTTTCAGATAGGTGTTCTGAGACAAGGTCTTCTCTATATAGTTAGGGCTGGCCTGGAACTTCTGACCCTCCTGCTTCTGACTCCTGAGTGTTAGGATGATGGTTGTATACCACTATGCTGAGCAGGGAGGTTTTAAAAGGTCACATGTGCTGTATCACAGGCCTTACCCATACTGGCAAAGATACCAGACTCGGAACACGTCAGAAACTACCACACAGGGCTGGCTGAGGGCACTTGCTCCTCTTCCAGCCTCCATGACCCAAGTTCAATTCCCAGCACCCATGTTGGGAGGCTTACAACCACCTTTAACTCCAGCTCCAGGGCCAGACTGTCTTCTGGCCTCTACAGGCACCCGTAAGTTTAAAAAAAATTAAAAAAATTTATTTATTATTTATTATTTTTATTTTATGTGTATGTGTGTATTGCCAAAAAAAAAGAACAGAACACGCAGGAAGGAGCTTGAGGACAGGTGATTTTCTGAACACCTCCAAGTGAGTGGAGGTCTGTGGGAGTCTCCTGGCTCCTAGTCACCAGTGCTACAGCAAACAGACACACAAAAGGCAGGGGACAGAGGTCAGGATAGGAGTGACTGTCTCTCCAGTTCTTCCTTGGGAAGCAGCAGAGACAGGATTTAGGAGAGGGTGGGGTGCAAGGATCAGGGACAAATGGAGCAGAAAGCAGGGATGGGAAAGCATCATAGCCTGTGAGTCTTGACTTCTGGTTGGCACACCAACAAGCAGCACATGCCAGCCTTAGGAGCTGCCTTACTTGGTGGTACTGCCCACAGGGGCCTGCCCTGGCTGATGCAGAGCTCATATTCTGCTGGCTTCTGCAAAGCAGACTGGGTGGACATTTGCCTGTGCCTAGCTGCACACTGTGGTGGTCAGGACAGCACTAAGCAAGAAGCACAGAGCCAGGAGTCATGAGGTGCCATGGAATTGTGGGGTACAGGAGCTATGGCTGTGAAATCTCTGTCACTGTGAGGAGAGGCAATGAAGGGAAGATACAATGAGCATGGACAGTGAGCCTACATGGTGGGGAATGAAGGTAGAATGCCTTCAGGGCCAGGCCACAGCCATTGTTACCAGCTCCTGGATTCCACCAATACAGTATGGAAGACTGGGCAGTAGCATCATGCTAGGGCTGTGATCAGGAAAAAAAATGTGAAGTGTCTCTGCCTTAGGGGAGTCAGACCAGGGGCACCAAAGGCGAAAAGCAGGAGTTTGGGGCACACAGAGCTACTACAGATACAAAGCAGGAGAGGGAGGTATAAGCAGACGAAGAGCACAACAGAGCAACCTGCTCTGCTGCGGTTAGGCAAAAGCGTACACACATCTAACTGAAGGTTAGAAGAAATGTACGAGTGCACAACAGTGCAGGTGCATAAAATTCTGAGAAATGGTATTTCTCAGTGGCCAAGAGGAGGGAGTAAGATACCTAGAGTCACAGCCTTCCCAGCAGGGCAAAGGACTGCTGGGGAGCAGTGATGATGGGTGCCTTGGTGGGAGTGGGGTGATGGGTACCTTGGTGTTAAGGACATTACTGGCAATTCGGCAGAGCATGAGTAGTCCGTCCTCTTGCATGGACCAGGAGACACGCAGCCGGGTCATCATCCGTAGGGCGTTCTGGTCAGCCTCATCTTGGTAACGCAGTTTTTTACTTTTGGCTTCCGGGTGCTCTCCTAGAAACACCAGGGGAGAGGTGAGGGGCCTGGAACGATTGGCTTGCTCTTCTTCCAGAGGGAAAGCCCCCCC